TCTTTTTGTCGTCTAATCGGTTTCCTTTGCGAGCTATACGGCCAAACGTACATATACAACCTATCCGTCGTTTCGCGTGGATGCCGTGCTCGCTCGTCCTCCGAATACCCGAGTTCCCGCCGTTTTCACGGGGTCGCGACCTCGCTACCCCCTCGCACGGTTTTAATATCCCTAAGAGCCGTTCCCTCTCGAGCCCAATCGACGCGAGAACTTGCCGGTCCTCGAAACAAGCGAACCGATTCGTCGGAGGGTCTTGGGGGAAACTGGAACTCGGCCACTGGAACTTGGTGCTCGGTTTCCAATCTAATATTCGAAATGGACGTCTGTTAGCAACCCATCGAATTCCTCGTAACGACCAGGATTCTCTTGCCGCTAGGTTGCAATCAAAGGCGGCGTTCGCGGGCACGAAGCGGCGAGCAACCGGGGTACACGCAGGTGGACTCGGTCTAAAAGTCACCGGTCACGTTTTTTGCCATGGCCGCGGCTTGAATATTCAACGAAATGTCAATCGCACCCTTTCGCCTCTGCTCCACCCTCCGCGTGCATGTTCTTAATCATGTTTCTCCTTGCGTCGCTTTTTTACGCCTCGTATCAGCCTTGGCTCGGCCGATCGGCTACACGATCGACCAGCTTCGCGGCGCGGCCCGTCTAAACGGCCCTCGGATCCGCTCGCATAATTCGCCGCGATTCTTTCGCGCACGGTAGTCGCAACAGGTTGCGCGATATCGCGGATTTTTCCACGCTCCGTGAAATTATAGCTCGCCGTGTCCGGCTGGCGCGCAGCATTCAGCGGCGGAGGCCTGCGCAACGACGCCGTGGCGCGCACCGCTTTGCTCGTGATACGTTGTTAAGGGCTTGTTAATTGCGAAAGTGGCAGAACAGGATCGGCGAACGGTGGAACGGGGAAACGGCCGCGGAGAGGATTCCGCTGTACGCGCGACGATACGCACCGGTGTATACGATAAAGAGGGAGAATCGCGAGTGGTGCTATTTTCTATCCCGCAGACGGCTCTAACGCCACCCGTAAACGCTCGACGATAGTCCCGATAAGAGAAGTAATTGAATCGAGTAAATACGTTCTAACGATCTGACCGGAGATACATGCTCGATCATTCCGGGTCAAATTTATACCTGCCATTTGCAATTCATATTTCGATAGTTGTCCCGTGTCGCATGCGTATGCTAAGTGCCCGTGACGTTGCCTTCGCGAGGCGGCACCGAGCGTGCTTCGCGGCCGGGATATAGGTGTTTCGAGGAACGGATTTAATCGGGACCTGTTCCTCTGGCTCTTCGAAATTTTTCGGCTTACCCTCTCCGTTTCCTGGAATGTAGAGCCGCGTGGTAACGCGCGTGATCTAAAATTTCGCTATACCGTTTCGTCACTCGCGTTTCACTTTTTATCCCGGCTGCCAGTTAATACGCTCGTTTCGATGCGCCGGTAATGTTTCGAGCGAGATCCAGTGGAAATATTAATATGGAAATTTAGTTTTTCGAGCGTCAACGGCCATTTCGGTTTTATGCGAACGGGGGGGTTGATAATCTTCTTCGAATCTCGGAATTGCTAATTGCCACCGTTCCGCACTTTGTTTCGCGCCATCCGATTCCACAGGGACGAATTTCTCATTCAGACGCCGCTTCGTTCGTTTCGCGCTGGTAATTATCGAGCCGTAATGAGAATCGCGAAAGGCACGAGGTAACTCCGCTGCGGGGGGCGCGAGGGATGATCCGCGTCTTCCATAATTCTCGTAATCGCGATTGCGCGGCGTGACACATATTCGCGTTGTTCGTAACATCGTGGCAGCTTTGCGTCATATCTGTTGCGCATCGGTGGAATTGCCGGCCGATTCTCGCCTTGATTACACGCAGATTACGCGCAATCATAGACAACGATAGCGCTACTCCGCCGACACGGTTGCATATCAATGCGAATTGCATTCCGCGCGGCTGAAATCTCGTCGACCGACAATCCAGTCCGTGGCATTTCGGCCCCGATCCATCGATCCCCCGTCCGCGTTCATTCTATTAAATTGTTCCGTGATCTTTCGGCCGATAGCACGCTTGAATTTCGAAACTATTCGCGTCGCGCAACGTCCGCGTCGAATCGCGTTCCGCTACGCTCTTGCTCTCTTATTTTCCGTCGATTTTATCGTCATCGCGAATTTTTTCCCCATTTCAATTCGGCCTTCGCTCCTCGTCGATTCGTCGATACGCGAGCGAGGAGCGGAAAGGAAACTTCCCGTGGACGCGTCTAATTCGATTATCGCGATCGATCGGGTACTCGGAAGTTGCCGCCATATGTAAATACTCGGGTCAGCGTATGCAAAGCGAATTTCCCGGATAGAGATGCGCACGTTCGAACGACGTCGAGATGCTTCGTATTTTAGGATCGCGGACTCCGAGGACTATCGCCTCGAAGAGGACGCGTTCGATCTTCCTCTTCGCGATCGGTTACGTAATCGGGAGACAATGTCCCCCGGTTTTACCCGCTCCCGACGGCCCTTTGCGACGAGGACGATCAAAGACGACGGAACGGACGACGTTCCCCGCGCCGGTCTTTTACCCGACTATCTGATTTCTGTCACAATGAGACGGGCATTGCTTATTCCGTTGACGTAACGGTAACGAAACGTGATGACAATGTAAACAGACGTGACTCGATTAGCATAAGGTATTGTTTCGCGGCGAAATTCTCTCCGCTTTCTCTCACCGAGGACCCGGGGTACCGGAAGTTTGCGTACTTTTACGCCTCGAGAGCTTCGTTCCGTACGCGAGGAGCGCAAATATTCCATGATTCCCACTTAAGACCGTGAACACACCGCTCACCGGGGATAAACACGTCGAATTGCAGCGCGCGTCTGCCCGCGAGGCTGGGGGGAAAGGGGCTGCAAGAATAACAAAATAGAAGGTGTTAAAAACATAAAAATAGAGCATTTTATTGTTCAGTCACAGGTTTTTATTCTAATATTATCTTTCACGTGGTCGGGAGTGGTTTGCAAAGGAGAAGAAGAAGAATAAAAGTAAAACACAAAAGAGTCGCTTGCGAGGAAAGCTAAACGAGATTGTTTCACGTTTGTACATTGTGTTTCAATTATTTGTATAGCGGTTCGCTTTAGTTCCCTTTGCGTGACGCGCATCTTTTCGACTGCGACCGTCGCAATTTCCAGCGAGAAGCTAAAATTTCTTTTCCTCTAGACGAATTTCGTTGTCCCTCGCTCGTTGGGCTAACATCGAGCGTCGCTCGATCTCGGGGAAAGAAAA